AGTCGCCTGGCTTCTTATGCATGTGTGGTGATGTTTTCTCAATGCAAGGGCTTGGCGGTGCAGGCCTGCCACAGTAAGTCCCCAACTTACGAACAAGTTCTGTTCCATTCCAGGAGGACTTGTGTAAGTTGGATTCATTCCTATCTGACACAGGACACCTCTGAAAGTTCACAGCTCGAATGTTCAGAAATCAGGGGGCGCTCTCAAGAGGCTGAGACAGGAAGATGATAAGTCTCAACCCAGCCTGGTCTACATAGTGGGATCCTGTCTCAGAAACCCAAAGCAAAATCTGATTCACATCTTGCTTCTTACTCCTGTTTCCAAACAGCATACTACAGATGTGCACACACATGTGTTTATACACACACAGCACACATCACATGCCGATATATACAAGCAGCACACACTTCTCACGCATACACAAGTGCACATCTGGTTTTTCTCCTGACTCACATGCTTCCGGTGGACTTTCTCCTCTAAAAGGGAATAATTTTCCCCTCCCTTGGGAAAATTCAAATTCACCCCTGAGGTCGGCAATTTAGAAAGAAAAGCAGGACAAAACTTCGGCTTTGTTCCCCTTCCTAATCTCATTATGCAGATTACATTTTTATTGTTGACATTCTTGTTTAGGGGGAAAATCATTGGTTTGGCTTTTTTGTAAGCTATCAGATATTTTATAGGCCTTTTAATGGTGTATTTGGTGTGAAATTAATTATCAAAGATTTGCAGAGAGTTTTAAATTAGATTTTATTTGCTCTTCAAGGCAAACAACTGGTTTTGGTTTTGTCACTAATATAAGGTTCTCATTGTTGCCTTTTTTCCCTTTACAATGAAATGATAAAACAAATCTTCAACTTATTTTAATGTGCTAATTGAGGGTTATTGCAGCTCATTTTATTTACATTGAAATAAAAAAGCACCAATTCATTTTCTTTCACAAACAACAAGAAAGGGTTTTAATTGCCTCCTATGCAAACATGTATCTGTAAAGAGAGATGACATATAAAACTAAAGGTCTGGAAAAAAATTTTCTGGGGGGACAACAGGCTAAATTGAAACCGTGATTTTCTAAGCAGACAGCTCCTGCTGAAGCAGCCTTTGCCTTCGGGTTGCTGATCATGAGTCCATTTTCCAAAACACAAATGATTGCAGGGTGTAAAGAATCCAGAAGGAGAATCTAACGTAAGGCTGTTTCTGCATATTTACATTGCCTGACACATGTTCCAGGGCTGGGTTGCAGGGAGCGGATGAACTCAGCAGTAGCCATGGTCCAGGGCCCCTAAGACGCGGAGATCCAGCTTTGTAATGCAGTCCCTGCCCACTGTTCAGTTAGCGCTCCTGATCCCTTCATTAATGTGTTCTTATTGATTTGCCTTCTGGTCTTTCAACTCTTAAAATATTCTCTCAGGGTCTTACACATGCTGCAGCTCATTATTGTGTGGATGACAGGTACAGAGACGTATCACTAGAAAATAATTATCAGATAAGGCTTCCGTTCTGTAGTTCGAATCAAGCAAATGCTTGTTCACCATGATTATACCTCACTGGCTGCTAGAATTAGTGTCTGTGCTGTAGGCCTATTGTTCTCTCCCCTTTTGCACCTTGGTAGGTAACTTAGCATCTTCCAAGGTTGAGAGGGGAAACCCACTTTGCGTGTGTGCATTCTTGCGTGTGTGTGCATATGTGTGTGTGTGTGTGTGTGTGTGTGTGGTGTTTGTGTGTAAATGGGGCAAAAATAACAGCAGCAAGCAGACAGATCCTCACACATCTCCTCTCCCCTCCCCCTTCCTTTCCCTCCCCCT